TTTTTTATACCCTACCATATTAGATTCATTTATGCTATACATTTCAAATAATAAACTATTAATTTTTTTCTTTTTGATTTCCAATTTCAATATTCATATTTTCAGAATATGATTCAAATAAAATATCTACACATCTTTTCTAATCTTAGGATCTAATATTGCAGTTAAACAATAAAGAGTTGAAATGTTCTCCTAATATATATATATTTTTTAAATTTATTTTCCATTATTTCAACAATACCATTAAATTGTGGTTTTTTCTATATTTTGCAAAACATGCACTAATCATGAATAATTGGTTAACTAAAAGACGACTAGTTGGGTAATAAACACCAAAAAATTCCTTAGTTGCATCATAAAAATTGTGTAAAAAATCCCGTATACAAATGGCCATTTCCCAATCTTCATCAAGTATAATATCATGTGGCATTTTTTAATTATAAAAATCAGAAAAGAATTGTTTATATGGAATACAACTCTCTAACATAAACTAAGTAGAATAACATCTATGTTGAACACCTAACATAAAATGTTTAGATTTTAAACCATAATTATGACAAAAATATTTAAATTCTTGTTTTCTTGCTATATATATAATACATCAATTTCTAATTTTAGAAACATGATGAGAAATAATATTTAAAGCATCTTGAATACATAAATTTAAGATATGACATGCACACCTAATATGAAATAATTTACCATTAAAATAAGGTTTTAATCGAGATTTTACAATATTTGTTATTGAATCATTATTATTGGCATTATCAAAACTAATAGAAAAAAGTTTATTGTCAATTCCACAAGCATGGAAAGTATTTAAAATACTTGCAACAATAGCTAGGTCAGTATGTGATCATTCAAGCCTAGTAAAATTTCAAATTCTTTTTTGTAAAAGCTAGTTTTCATCAATATATAAAATGACTAGTAACACAAATATAATTTATATTAAATTTAGAGGTCCAAATATCAGAAGTAATTGCAATTCTAGAATTAGGATTTGATAAAATAGAAATTAAATTTTGTTTATATGAATAAAAATTTTTCAATGCCTATGCTCTAATAGTATTTCTAAAATTTTTTAAATTGAAGATTGTTCAGCATGTACAATATATTTTGCCAATTCTTGCCTCATTTTTTCTTGTAAATATTTAAAAGTACCAAACCCCCTCCCAATTTGTGTTTGGGATGTTTTCCCTTCTTCTTGTTTCTCATGGGTGAGCAAATGTTTACCCAAGTGGCTAATACCACCTTTACTACACTAGCTAAAGTCACTCCTATATTTTTGGGATACAACCCTTTTTCCCTTCCCCTCAACCTCATCTATTTTAAATAGTTTTCAAATTGAGCTAGTCAATTTAGTTCTCTTCTTTTTCCTACCCCCCAGTAGTTGTACTAGTACTAGGGGTGGGAACTTCAGCAATTTCAGTAGCATCAATATCAATGCTAATGCTATCATGTTGTTATTGAATATCTCCGGCATTAAACATGCTAAGGAATTGGTTTTGAGAGGAGTCGATCATTTTTTTTTTAATTCTAAAGAATAAAAATTAATTTAATTGCACTCACCTGGATTGCCAGTTTAGAATCTCAACTTGATTTCAATGGTTGAAGCCTCTAAGCCTCACAAATTGCTAACTTGAGATACTTGGGCAAGCTTCTTGTTGAAACTTGAAAAAAGTCAAGACTTAAGAATTAGAAAGTAGAGAGAGAGATAGAGAGAGCATTCAGAGTATGATAGCTTGAGAAAGTATGAGAAGAGAATTACTGAATTGGTGCGGTGAGAATGCTGGAGAATTGGTCTATTTATTATAGCAATTAAGAATAATTCAATTGTCCAAAAATACCCTAAAAACTAGCCATTGTTTAGTTGTTGGGAGGGGTATTTTGGTCATTGTAAAGTCATTTTTCATTTTACCCAAAATACCCTATAAACTAGCTATTATATAGCTATTGGGGGGCATTTTTGTCATTTTTCTTCCCTAAAGCCAAAATACATAAATACATAGTTGTTTATAGCTGTTAGGGATATTTCTATAATCCCCGCCCCAAAAAAAAGCTAAAGTGTACCTCAAGTGGGCTATGTTTAGCCCGTTGCGGGCCCGTGGACCATACCGTGTCGTATGGACTCATGGACCTAAAATCCTTGGCTCAACATGAAACATGACCCACACGATCATGTTATACTTGGCACAACCCATATGCCATCGTTCTAGGCCACAGGCGGCGCAACTTGATTTACAATGGTCTGATTTATAGCTCTACCCAACACAAACCATACCCCCGGGTCGTGCCCCACGTGATATATAATAGGCCGATTTACAACTCTACTCACTTAACACTTGAATATCTCCCATGCCTTCAAAAAAAATCTCCCATGAATAACAATACACATGTACGGGAGATGTTCTCATAGCAAATCCGTTGCTTATCCGAACCAGAATTTGCTCTTCACGGGAAATTTTCTCAATGTACGACTGTGATTCGTCGCTGGTTTGAATTCCGCGTTTTTCAACTCAAGATTAGCATTAGTGTTAGTTAGGGGTGTCAGTGGTATTCAAAAATCCAATTTCGAATTTGATATTCAATATAATCAAATCGAATTCGGATATGAACTAATTCGATTCGATAAATATCCGAATTCGATCGATTATTTAATTCTTATATATAATATATAAAATATTTTATATAATTTATTTATAATAATTAAGTTATATAAATAATTTATATATTTATACATTTTATATTAATAAAATATTTATTTTATATATTTATTAATTATCTAAAATAATTAATTAATCGAATCGAATATTCAAATATTTAATCAGATTCGAATTCGGATATTAATTTTCAATACCTGTTAGATATCAAATCAAATATGGATATCGGAATTTCTAATTAGATTCGATTTCAGATATTGCCTGATCTAATTCGAATTTGATCCATTTACACCCCTAGTGTTAGTGTATGACTATTTGTTACGTAAATGTTAGCACGCTAGGAGGATAAGATGCACTTCGTGTAGTTTAGATTACATATGGATTGTACGTGCTATGATGCGCCGAATCTCAGTTTACAAGCAGGAAGGGAATGTTCAATTTTCGATGTACATATAGCATATTTCTATCAAATTGGGATCTACTACTCACAGATAGCGCCTCACACCGACTTCACACCCACATTCCATTCGGTACGAAAACATCTCCTATCTATATAATTTAATTAACTATTGGTATTTTTTCATTATTATTCAATAATTTGTGCAATAAAATACTGTTAATAAAATGGGTTCTGCATTTTAAATTTTCATTAAGGTCTCAACACATAAGTTATCTAATAATATTATTAAAACTATCAATTAATATTTTTATATTTAAATTTCTTATTTTTATTAGTGTTTATTAAGTTTGATTAAATAACAAATTTTATATTAATATATATATATATATATATATATATATATATAAATGTTATATATTTTTTATACTAGACTAGATTTAAATAAAAAAAATTAATTTGTATAAATATCATAGTCTTATAATTAACACAAGCCTCTTTATCAATAGAAAATGTGCAAGCCCGAGCCCGATCCGACCATCAGGCCTAGATCTTGAGCCCGAGCCCAACCCTTATATAAAGCCCGAAGCTCGATTTGTACACAAAAGTCTAAGTTCAGTATACTTTTATAAACTAATATTATATTAATTTAGTAATAATTTAATAAATTAATAAAGTAATTTATATTTCCTAATAGTAACAGCATATATATATTATTTATTACATATAACATAAGTACTTTTTTATATATGTAATAGTATCGGGCCATTCTAGGGATGAGGTGGGGAAATTTGAGGATTCCCCATCCTTGATCAGGAATGGGGTGCCTTGCCCATGAACTCACCCGACATTGAGGTGCGGTTGCCTTGCCTTGAACTCGCCTGACGTTGGGGATGGGGTAGGGATGGAGTAGAGTGTCTTGACTATGGGGCCAGGGACAAGGATGGGGTGCCCCACCCTGAACCCACCCCACTGTCATTCCTATGTAATTGTTAATTATTAGAGAAATTAATAAAAATGTTAGCTTTTGTAATTACTTTTATTTATTTAAAGTTAATCAAATTCATTTAAAAATAATAAAAATAATAACAATTATTAAAATTACTATAAATTATTAATAAAAATAAATTTATTAAGAAACATTTGTTCATATTAAATTAACAATAATTATTTTCTATAAATTAATATTAAATAAATATATATTTTATTAAAATTTTAGATATTAACATTAACTTTAAATACTTTTAATTAATTAACAATAAATTTTAATTATTAATTTAATATAAACTAATAGTAAATAAAATATTAAATAATTAAATCTTTCGGATTTTCTCATACATCACATTATAAGATGTTACCGATGTACGGCCAAAATATGCTATTAGTCCGGATTCAGTTATATTTACCAACTGAGCACGATTCCCTTTTATAAAACACGGACAACGTGCTATGAATCAGAGGTCCCACTTTTATGAACTAAGATGCCTGTGCTTGGTTGGTTATAAAATTTTTCGGTATCATAATCAACCCGAGATTCGAAAACATATTGACGTGTCCGATTCATATATTGAATGATGTAAAAGATTGAGCCAAGACCGTCGTTGATATGGCGTCTTCGGTCTTTCTCTTCAATGATGTTGATCGGTTGATCCTCAGTAACGCGGACGGCGAGTCAACGACCTTCTTTCTAGAAGGTAAGACGTAAGACTTAATAGCCTGTCTGGCGGCTCTGTCTCACTCTCTCTCACTCACACACAGTCTTACTCGGTCTCTGTATTTATAAAATCGTTCTCAGTTGGTAGTTCTTTTCGACCTCTGTCGTCTGACTTTGCCCCAAACAACCTGAAGGCTGAAGAATTTGAAGAAGTCCGACTCTGACCCTACCTGAAGAATTTGAAGAAGAAGAAGAAGAACACAACAAAAACTAGAAATTACGGGTAAATTTTCGATTGATTTCTTATATTCGTTTGAACATTTCTTTTAGAGATTCCTGGAATTTGGTCTTCAGTGATTTCCAATTTCGGTTTCAATTCATATAGTGGGGACTGGGAAGAAGATTTTCTTGTTTATGTGACGAAATTTTGTTTTTATTAGAAAAATCTGTTGCTTTGCGTGAATTGTATCTCTGAATCACAATTTCATTGTCTTGTTTGATGGTGGTTTAAGGTTTTTTCTTTCTATGCTTTTGGAGGGACATAATGTTTCTTTTTTTCATTTTCCTTTGCTACAAAGGGATTTTTCTTTCAGCATTTTTTTGTGTGAAAGGTTGGAGTTTTGACATTTCTGGAAGGGGGAGAATCTCTGAATTTGTTTATTGTGCCTGAAGGTTAGTACCTGTTGCATCCGCACAGTGCGCTTGAAAATTTTAGTCTTAGATTGTCAAAAGCTTCGGGAGATTTCCCCCCTTTTTGATCTGCTAGAGCTTCTGGAAATTTTAATGCCCAATTACAAAAAAAAAAAGATAAATAAGAAAATCGCTTTTGTATCATGATGCCCCCAAAAATGCTAGAAAAAATATCTACGTTCTTCTAATTTGGAGTATCATCTTCACTTTCTCAATTCCTTGTATTGCGCTGTTGCAGGTTGAACCTTCTCTTTCCAAGAACTCGAGAAGGTAGGCATACTCCGCATTTTTCATAATATTAGAGAACTGACCATAGTTCTTTACCTACATCCGTATTAGTCATCAGTAGAGAGAATTTCTCAAGCAAACAACCAATGGAAGACTCAAAGCCTGAACTCATACCAGCTTTTCAGATACAGTGTCAATGGTGCCCATATATCCTAAGATTTTTCTCATGCCACTACTGTAGCGCATTCTGAACACATGGTTGGGTCCGTGAAGTTCAACCTAGATAGCTCCCCTGATTCCCCAATTTCAATTCACTCTGACTGTGATACTTTTACTTCATTGAGCAATAGCCTGGAGCAGTACAGTTCAACAGAGAACCTTTCAGGGAATATTAGTCCTTCCCGTAATTCCTCACTTGAAATCAACAGCTCTTTTCCCAGGATTATCCCTTCTCCTGTCCATCTTCCAGACAGTGCAGAGCTCTATTCTGGTGGGAGTTCACTTTCAAAGGATGCAAACCGTGATCACAGTATGAAAAACACCTTACAGGAACTAGAGAACGTTCTAATGTGTGATGCTTATGAAGATGAGTTAACCACTTCCGGGAATAAGTGGTTGCAAATCTCGACTCAGAGATCAAAGGACTGGAGCTGGGAATCTCTCCAGAGATCGCATGTGATTCAACCTCAACCCTACCTTGCTTCCAGGAATCTGAGGTTGGGTGCTGGAGTTGATGCTGAGAAACGTCATAGGGCAACTGAGACATCCTATCAGGAAATTGTGCAGACTGATGTGAAGCAATTGTTAATCAAGTGCGCAAGGGCTCTCAATGAAAAGAGAACAGATTATTTCATGAGGTTGGTCCAACATACCAGGGGTGTTGTATCCATCTCTGGAGAACCAATCCAGCGTCTTGGTGCTTACATGTTAGAAGGGCTGGTGGCGAGAAAGGAGGCATCAGGCACAAACATCTACCGTGCATTGAAGTGTAGAGAGCCAGAGAGCCAAGATTTGCTCTCATACATGCAAATTCTGTATGAAATCTGCCCATACCTTAAGTTTGGTTACATGGCAGCCAATGGGGCAATAGCAGAAGCATTCAGAACTGAAGATCGGGTTCACATCATAGACTTTCATATTGCTCAGGGAACACAGTGGCTGACTCTGATACAAGCACTGGCAGCAAGGCCAAGTGGACCTCCTCATGTGCGGATCACTGGGATTGATGATGCAGTATCTAAGTATGCCCGTGGAGGCAGTTTAGAGTCAGTTGGGAAGAAGTTTGCAGCTATTTCTCAGAAATTGAAAATTCCTGTTGAATTCCATGCTGTGCCAGTCTTTGCAGCAGATGTAACACGAGATATGCTTGATGTGAGAGCTGGGGAAGCAGTGGCTGTGAACTTCAACCTGCAGCTCCACCACACACCTGATGAGAGTGTTGATGTGAATAATCCAAGGGATGCACTACTGAGAGTGTTGAAGTCACTTTCTCCCAAGGTAGTCACCTTGGTTGAGCAGGAGTCCAACACAAACACGACCCCATTCTTAACAAGGTTTGTGGAGACCTTGAATTTTTACTCAGCAATGTTTGAGTCAATTGATGTGACTCTTCCAAGGGATAGAAAGGATCGGATCAGGGTGGAACAGCACTGCTTAGCCAGAGACATTGTCAACATAATTGCTTGTGAGGGGAAGGAGAGGGTGGAGCGGCATGAACTTCTTGGTAAGTGGAAATCTAGGTTTATGATGGCAGGGTTCCAGCCATATCCCCTGAGTTCTTACGTCAACTCTGTCATAAGGGATTTTCTGAGGAGCTACTCAGAGCACTATACACTAGTGGAAAAGGATGGGGCCATGCTCTTGGGCTCGAAGGCTAGGAACTTGATCTCGGCTTCTGCCTGGCATTGATGACTTGAACAATTTACTATGGTCGAGTCGACTGTTAGACAAACTAATACGGAATTATAGATTAATTAGCCTATTTTTTATTAGATATATCTATGCTTCTTCCCTAATTAGTGATTCAGATTTTTATTTTTATTTTTTTTTGTCGTTACAATTTCAGGTATAGGAGGAGTTCATGCTTTTTATGTATTACTTAATTTGTCTAGAATACTTGCATTTTTGTAAAATAAATGTTGGTTTTGTATGAAATTTTTGGGTTAAGTATTTCATTGTTCTTTTCTTTGTGATGCATATATATTTATTTAAGTCTTGATGGATAATTGTCACGGGGCTAATCGGCAAGGCCCTGTGCGGCACTCGGATGGGGTGAGTAAGCCTATGCAACAAAGCAAACACATACAAAAGGCAACAAGAAGGCACATGAATTAGCAAAAGGCTACTTGTATTGCATTAATAGGCGGCAAGCACAAATACACAGTTCAGTGTCGAGGGGATCTCGTGCTTAACCTTTACACGCTTATGAACTCACTCGACTACCTACCACCCCTCAAAGAGTACGTTAAGCTTTTGGGAGAGTGACATAAAGATACATCAAAAGGATGACAAATCATACTAGGTAATTACAGAAATGCCATTGGCAATCCCCCCATACAAAATACATGCAATGTTCCACCCAAGACACACACTTAGACACTCGGATGGCATGTTGTGGGCGTGATGATGGCACTTGAAGGCGCGGCAAAATGGTCCCTTGTGACATTCTCCCCCATTCAATTTCGTCTTCGTCCAGCTTCTGCTTGAGGCTTGAACTTGTTGTTGGTGAAGGAAGGTTCTTCGACTGCTCCACGAATAGGGTTTCTTCCAAGGCCCGGATAGGAGGTTGGGTAGATGGCTAGTGGATGTTCTTGATGGTGGGAAAACCTATGGCTAGTCCCTGCCTGGCTGCTTCAAGGTAGGATTTTGGATGTTCCCCGATGGTGGCCAAGGCTGGGTCAAAATGATATTTTGGATTATTAGGGTATTGGTTCCCATGCATTTTTCCCCAAGGGTGACTTACAGGGCTACTACGGGATTTATCTTGAGGGATGATGTGAATGTGGTCCCTAAATGGCTTGGGTGGCACTTGCTCTCCCCGATGGTCGTGGTAGTAGATGTGAGCAAAGTTTGACACGACCTTGGGTCTTCTGTTGGGCCCATCAGTTGTGGGCGCGTGCGACTTCTGTTGCAAAGGTGGCTTCCGCTGCTGTTGCTGTGGCGGCATTGGCACTAACGCTGGCACTGACTTCTTCTTGGAGTTGCTACGATCACTTCTGGTTGCACTGGTGGTGGTTGTAGATCTCTCTGCCATCAATGGTTGAGGGTGGTGTTCGAGTTGCAAGGCTGAGACTTGCTTCTTCTTGGTGCTGGCTGTGGCGATCATGTTGACCATGCAAGGTGACTGCTCGTCCAAGATCATCAGGGTGTCAAGGTGAGGCACCAACGCCGCTTTTGCATGTATCATGAAGTCCATTCCAAGGACAACATCAAAATCATCTATGTGGATGACGGAGAGGTCAATCTCTCCAGCCCAGGTGTCGAGTTGTAGTCTTACTCGGCGAGCCATGTCTTCAGTAGGTTTGGCACCTGTGTTAATTGCTTTGAGCCAACCAGGCTCTTTGGAAACAACCAAATTAAGTCTCTTGGCCTCTGTAATAGATATGAAGTTGTGAGTGGCCCCCGTGTCAACTAGGGCCCTGGTTGGCCTCCCGCCAATGGTTACATCAACATACCTCAGTCCTCTCTTGATTGAGGTGGGCTGTTTGGAGGTAGCCCCTTTCTTCATCATGGCATTGAAAAGTTGGAGGGCACCCACTCTTGGCGCATGGGTACTTTGTTCCCCATCACTCTGCTCATCATCACTTAGCTTGGCAATGAGGGCATTCAACTTTGCTCGCTTTGGGCAATTCTTGGTCAAGTGCTCCTCCCACAAATGTAGCAAGTGGGAGGACGGCTGGGTCTCCCTTGATATCTGTTGTTGTAGTAGCTTTGACTTCCTTGTGGCTGCTTCCCTTTGTGGTGCTCGACTGGTTTGTGGTTGAAGGGTGACTTCTCCTTCGGGGGACTTGGTTGTCTATCTCCCCCACTCGAATGTGTGGTACGCAGGCTGACTGGTCTGCTTCCTTCGTCATCTGACAGTCTCCGTTCACTAAGTTGTTCAGCCACGGCCATGGTGGAGGCAAGGTCCTAAACATTGCGTCATTGGAGCCCAAGCTCGTTCCAAGGCTTTAAGCCATCCATGAAGTTGAACAATAAGTCTTTGTCTGACATATTGGTGACTTTTAATGTGAGGGCTGAAAACTCTTTGACATAGTCATGGAGAGAGTCGTCGTGCTTGAGAGTCTTCATCTTGCGACGAGCGAGGTACTCCACGTTCTCTGGGTAGAACTGTCTCTTCAGCTCTCTTTTAAAGTTAGCCCAGGTACGGATAACACACGTACCACGTTCTATATCAACACACCTTCTACACCACCACAACATAGCGGCATCAGTCAAATACATAGTAGTAGTACGCACCTGAGTCATTTCATCAATCACATTGGCGGCGGCAAGGTACTGCTCCATTTGCCACATGAAGTTGTCAAACTCTCGTGCATTGCGGGTACCCGAATAGGGAGTTGGCTCCCTAATCTTGATGTGGGAGGGAGTATGTGCAAATGAAGTGTTGGCTGGATTAGCAACGACCCTCTTCAGGATTGCACATTTGGCTTTGAGTTCCTCTAGTTGAGCTTGGATGTCGGAGGAGGAGGCACATGCGGCGGACTTCATTGAGGCCCACTCCACTCTCATTTCATCTAGTTGGGCTTGGACGACCATTGATGTGGAGATGGTTCTTCTCCACGTTGCCCACTCTTTCTTCATCTCATCGAGCTGGGCTTGAAAACTGTCAAGCCTGTCTTGGACCTACGAGTTGGAGGAACTTGCTTCTTGTTGGCGTGTAGTGCTGCAAATTTCCTTGAGCGTGCCATTGATTATGTCATGGACCTTGTCCACGACTCCACTCAAGCGACCTTCAATCTCGACCAGTGTACTGTCCATGGCTTCCATATTTTGATGCAACTCGTCTATTGAGTCTCGCATCTCACCTACGGTGGCTTCGCAACGTAGCATGCACAACTCAATGGTTGCATGCTTGTTGGAAGATTTCTCACGTTTGCTGGGCTTCGGTGCCTTGTCCTTGTCGATGTCGTCAGCGGGCGCATCATCGGCCTCATGGGCTGTGGAGAGTCCATGCTCGATCTCCTCCACAATGTCCCTGTTGTGCTTCATGTTGTCACTCACGTCGCGGGTCAAATGGCTTATAAGGAGCTCTTGCTCTGATACCAATTGTCACAGAGCTAATTGACGAGGCCTCGTGCGGCACTCGGATGGGGCGAGTAAGCCTAAGCAACAAAGCAAACACACACAAAAGGCAATAAGAAGGCACATGAATTAGCAAAAGGCTACTTGTATTGCATTAATAGGCGGCAAGCACAAGCACACAGTTCAGTGTCGAGGGGATCTCGTGCTTAACCTTTACACGCTTATGAACTCACTCGACTACCTACCTCCCCTCAAAGAGTACGTTAAGCTTTTGGGGGAGTGACATAAAGATACATCAAAAGGATGAAAAATCATACTAGGTAATTACAGAAATGCTATTGGCAATCCTCCCATACAAAATACATGTAATGTCCCACCCAAGATACACACTCAAACACTCAGATGGCATGTGTGGGCGTGATGATGGCACTTGAAGGCACGGCAAAATGGTCCCTTGTGACATAATGCTAACTATAGAGGGGGAAAAATTCAATGTGCGATTGGATGGGTTCATTCATATTTGTGCGCACTTCATGCTTGAGGTCTTTGGGAGGACCAGAAAATAAAAAATAAAAACACCAACCTAGCTTGGGCTTGGGGTCTTTGGTGCATTGTCCAATATAAAGTCATTTTCTGGATGGGCCACAATTAAAACACGGGACGGCAGGAAGGCACACATAGGCCGGGCCATTCATTAAGGCTATATTTGGTTTGAAGAAAAAAGTAGTGAAAGGAAGGAAAAGACAGGAAAACCAATACAAGGGTTGTAAAGGTTTTTTTACCTTTCCCTTTCTTTCCCTACATTTTCTTTCAAACCAAACATAGCCAAATGGGCCTTAACATTAGACCCACAGGTGCGGAGAAATTCCAACTACTCCGTACTCCTCGATTAGTCCATCTACTCTGAATTTACGTTTGCATTTGAATCTGAGCACAGCTAACTTCTTGGAAACCACCTGTTTCAGCCCCAAACAGTTATCTTCTTATCAGAGATTAGACGGTCATCCAAACCGCTACTGCTGAAACTGATTCTTATTCAGCTGAGGTTGTGGAAACGGAAACGGAAAGCTTTTCGTTTATTCGATCGGTTCTTTGCGTGTTCCATTAAAACCATGGTTTTTAAAACTGATCCGGAGATTGAATCGTTCAGGGGTCAGGTTATCGGGTCGAACAGTCCGATTGTTCAAACCGAACGATGGCCTATTCTAACAAACAAAATAAAAAAATTAAAAAATAAAAAACGATTAAAACTGTTCGAACGATTAACTGTCCAGTTCAACAATTTACTGACCAAAATAAATGTTTTTTTTTGAGAAAATCTGGATTTTCCGGTCCGACCGTCCAGTCCAGTCCGGTTTTGAAAACCATGATTAAAACTGTTTAAAACCATGCTAGGTCATCTTCTTTAGCATAAATTGAGAATGGTTTTTAAGTCGTAATACAGTTTAAAATATCCATAATATTGCTTCAAAGTGTGTTTTTGGGGACGTGCTACTCCCGTGTTGTGGAGCCCTTTTGATTTTATCAAAAAAAAAAAAAAACACAAAATTAAACAACCCACGTTTGCTACGCCAGTATTGTAGCCCTATGCTTAAACAAGTAAATTAAAGTCTTTGATATGCTGTGATGGCTTCACCTTGAATTAATTGAAGTGACTTTTTGGTGGGCCACTGCAGTAGATCAAAGGCTATGATTTTCTATTTTAGCCCTGCGCCACGACAGTGTCGTTAACACAAGTAAACTCAAAATTAAGTAACGGATGCAAGAGGGGCCGAGTAGGTCGGGTTTGAAGTCAACCCTAACCCAACATGAGGTTCTCAAGCCCCAAACCCTAAACTTTTATGAGAATATTTTTTGTTAGTATTTTCTTTTTCAATTTTTATTGGTCATTTTAATACCGAAATAAAACATGAATGTTTTAAATGATTAGAGTCTATTATG